AAAAATTTCGAATATCTTCTGGTGAATCGCGATGAATCAATTTTTCATTTCGGTAGATTCCTTTCTTAAGACTCATAAAACGCCTAGTCATAGCCTAATTTCAAATGTCATGTTTTGTCTTCCCTTCGCAATATGAAGTTTCTGTCCGTATATAAGCCCTTCGTATAATAGCATCGATGGTGTCCTACCAAGTCCGAATGAATAAATCTTGGTCAAAGATTTGATTCGGAACACGAGCGGTCCATAACAGCGTTGGGGCGCGCTCTGCCACGTACCGACGATCGCGGCGATCGCCGAGGTCGCCGCTGCTGTCGCGAAGTATGAACGCTGCTTTAAGGGTCGAGCATCACGCCACGGAAAATTGCCCGGTCGGCACGACCATTTTTAGAAAGAAGTGTCCATACCATCGCTTTTCCGCCCCTATAGAGAGGTGTTTGCTCTCGTTTGCCCTATTTGTGCGGCTGCGTCGCGTGCTGCGAGAATGTAGCTCTGCATTCACCACTAGATGTTCCGCTGAACTTCAGTGCTCTAGCTTCCGTGGCGGTCTCAACTTAGAAATAACGCGGAAATCTTATTTTGGAAAAGCAGGTTTCTCACATTTGAGTGGACACAACCTCGATCAGACGTACAGTCGTCATCCGGGCAGTTGATTAGGCAGCCAAAGGGTCGCGACGCGGCTGCGGCGCGTCACGACCGCGGCGATCAGCTGTTTCCAGCCTGTTTAGCCATTTTCTCCCTAATTTTCACTGTTTTTGGCTGCTTTTCTTAAGGTTAGTTGTTCCTTGTCTTCACAAGGTAAATTATGATTGAGATTTCTCTAATTTTTGCGAACAATTAAACAATTAAACAAATACCTAAAAAACCGCGGAAAGACCTCATTACAAAATCAAAAAACGAATCCACGTCCTAATATACTTCATAAAGACAACACAACATACCTTGAAAAAAATAGGAAATACAGTGAAAATTAGCTAGAAAAATGGCTAAACTAGGCTGTAAACAGCTGATCGCGCGGTCGTGATGCGCCGCAACTTTGCATCGTGGACCCTACGGCGCCTAACCATTCCGGATGACGACTTGTAACTTAGGGCGCACAGTTACAGGAACTTGAAACAGAAGGTTTCCTCCTCTTGAAAAGCATCTTATGTTCTAGGTCCAGCATATCGAAGTCTCGCCCGTAGCAGACTTTGGTCTGACAGTTTGCTTCGACTGCAACAAAAGGTCTTTCGGCTACACCACCCACATTCCCTGGGTACCTCGACGTCTTCCAGTACAATTTTTTTTATCAAGATAATAGAGAATGAGTCACAGATGTGCTGATCAATCTCTATGGAGTGCGCCTCGTATTCCACTCAAGATCGCAGTGGTATTTGTAGATATATGGATTTATGGGGAATGGACCTGATGTGATTTTGAACAAGCCTCTCGCCTAGCTGGATTCCTTGTCGAATCTAGGCAAACGTAACTTGTAGCTGTGGCAGTTTCATCTACACCAAATTAATTTGCTATGAATTAAGATACCGTAACCCACGTTGGGGCACAAAAACAGGGGTACTGTTCTACTAATTTCACCAATGTTCTTTCAATTACTGACACCTGCACATACAACTCTCTCCTCCTACCAGTGGGCAACATAAAACTTTTCCTTTTTCCGAGACAAAACTTACTTTTTGGCGGGAAAAGGGCACCTGCCTTTGGTTACTTCCAGCTATCCGGTTTCCACACTGTTTCGAGTATTACAAACAACCTTCAGCGAACCAAATAGCAACTCTCTTACAGCTTCAGAGCGCCTCTACCGTTGAACTCACACTGATTGTGTACAAAGTTGAGAGTATCCGCAAACTGCTGTTGAATGAACAGACGGTGCATTTGAGCAGAACTTTGAACATTGAGCCCGTGGCTAAGAGCATCAATCAGAAGCAGACAGGATAGTAAAAGTTTCATGACACCTTATGATGCTGAAAATTGAGATAACTTTTATTTCTGAACATTTTGAAATACACCCGAGGACGTGCCACGGATTCCAGTGAAGAAACTCAAAAAAGGCAGCGAATGGCACTGTGGAAAATGAAAAAGAAAAAGGGCATAGGAATAAAACACAAGAAACAAGCGAGAGAATTAGGCCGCGGATTGTTGGCTCTGGAGAGGATAAAAACGCGCGAATCCTTACCCTGACAGGACATGATATTTCGCTATGAAGGTAGATTGTGAAGAAGGTCCATTGGTTGAAGTGCTTGCGACTTGTCTCGGTAACGCAAAGAGACGGCGACAAATACTGCGCCTTGCTGACTCGATCAAATATCGCGTCCTTGCTGACCATGGGAGTCGCGCAAGCTTTACCATGAAACTTTGAATGGAGACCTGGGTAGATGGATAGAGTGTAAGATTAACATAGATAGCAAAACTGCAACCTGCATTTTACAAACAACTTATGAGCAGGCAAAGTTTGCAATGGTGCAGTTTGGAGGCTTGAACGTCGAACCTTACCACTGAACCACCACGACTCGATTCGACGTATGCGATTCCTCGCTTATGCTTCACAGCTCACCACCAAGCCTCCACCCTACTGCACCATTACAAACTTTACCTGCTCATAAGTTGCTTGTGAAATGCAGGTTGCAGTTTTGCTATCTATATTTGTAAATAACCTTATAGACTCTATCGATCTACCCAGGTCTCCATTCAAAGTTCCATGGTAAGTTGATTCCCCTGGTGAGAGCTTGAGCTCGACGTTGCGAACACGTTGGTCCACTGAAGTCAGGAAGGTACCATGTACGCGACAAAAATTCGAGAAAACTGAAAAGTGATTCGTCTCTCCCTTCAATCAGGCAAACCACTGTTGTTTGTACTTCCTTAAAGCTCCAAGATCACATGGGAGCGGACCAAGGGAGACCTCAAGTGGGAGGATTCATCATATTTCAGTTTTCTCTATCCACTGGTCCACACAGCTCAACGCGGTCTCGATAAGGTTGACTCATAATCTAAGAAAATGTAGAGAGGGAAGGAGTCGAGTTTTCCTCTCGCTCGATGAGGAGGAACCAAGGAGGATCAACCTCCTAAAAAAAGTGGGGTTGTACAGGCGAGTCTTTGTGTCGAGCAGAATCCCCAATTAATGATGTGCCCTGAATCGGAGTCTATGCTCAAATGCATTCTAAAATTGCCCTGGCCTGAGTTTCGAAAAGCTTTCTAATTGATCACACGCGTTGCGCACTTAGGCCTTAATCTCCCAACTACTGGTACAGGATCTCTGGTGGTACAAAGATACGGGCTCGAACAACAGATTGAGAACGACTGAAATTACATATACCACGAAATCGACAGAACTGATGTGGTGGCGAGTTAGGCGCTCGATCCTGGGTCGAACACCGGATGGCCCTGTCTTGGTCAGCTGAGGCCCCTACCCTCCAGGGACGGTGAGTGGGCACAGATTCATCCGGGAGGATAGAAACACTTGCTTGTACATCGGCTGACCCTTGCAAGTCACTGGTACAGGCCACATCAGACTCAATATGCCACTATGAATCCGGACGTAAGTATACTCCATATCCCGGAGATTTACTCCATTCCAAAGCGGCACCAACCGCGCTGTTGGAGGAATATTGATGTTTTGGGGCAATTGTAATCATGACTTCCTCGAGTACTAGAGAGGATGGCAGTTGTTTTAAGTGGGAGCCGACGGAAAATGCGCCCTGTTCAAGTGAAGTAACCAGCAACGCCCATCCCATCTAAGGGATATGGAAAATCGAATGGCATGTTCAAAGGGGCTTATCAGCGGCGAAAACATTATCTTCTTTCAAAAACTGAAAAGAATGCTTGGATAGAACAGCTTACGTTTTAGACCACTGGAATCCTTATTTCGACCCCATGAGTCAGCACACTGTACAGCTGGAAGAAAAGCTTGGGAATCGAGTGGAAAGGTACGATTATCGATCGTGAAAGAACTTCTTCATCAAAGTGGTCGTTTCTGTGCACATCGGCTAGGACTGGCTTGGAAGCTATTCATTAGTTTTCTCAACAATTTCGACGAAAGCAAGACCGATTGCGCATTTTTTGAAAAACCCGTGGTGCCATATGTTAGTCGGTCTAGTGTAATCCTTGCAGCACACGCGTGCGCTCTTTTCGTGATTCGAATCTGATTCAAATCATTTCTCAAAGCTCATCCCATCAGAAACATTCACTATAGCCGTGTTTTACGCTGATTGTTATTTGACAACTTTTCCTGAATGCTATTGATAGTTATCGATTACCTGTTGTTTAAATAACCGTGCCTTCAGCAGTTTTGGTTCCGATGATTCCAAGTGAAAAGTCCACCGAAACATAGGATGTTATTGAGGATTAGTCTATTAATAGTTATCACTACAGCAGAACCATTATATCGAAGAAGCGTTTCCTCAGAGCAGTTACAAGGTGGGTGAGACGAAGGTCGCTGCAATGTTTCCAAGTGCCTTGCGATATTTTTACGCCATATCCGACGAAAACGTCGGACAGTCAGTCGTTTCTCAGCTCCAGAAAGCAATAGATGCTATCGTGGACTGGTCCAATACCAACAGGCTTCCTTTAAGTGCTGGCAAAACTAAAGTCCTTCATTTGGGAGGATCCAATCCAGGCTTATCATATTACATCAATGAAGAGGCTCTTGAGGTTGTCGAAAACCATAAAAGCCTTAGGCTCTGTTGTAGATTCGAAACTGACTTCCGGCAGTTTTAAGCCTTGACGGACCACATTGTGAATGAGGCAGAAACAAGGGGTCTTTTTTGGTTTTCAAATCGCTCGAGTCCAGGAACCCTACGTTGCTCATAAAGGCTTATGAAATTTACGTCCAGTCTATCCTAGAATACGGTACATGTATCTTTTTCCCCAAAGAAAAATTTTATCGACAAATTGGAAAGGATACAGCATAACTTCACCAGGAAATTGTTTATTAGAGCCTCGGTTTCACTTACAAAAGCATCCCTCGGGGCCTAGTAAGAAATAAAATGCTCAATTGGATCCAATACATTTAAGATTCGGCGAAATGACATACTTATGGTCTACAATATTTTGAACGGACGTGTTGATATAGACCGCAGCTCCTTCTTCGAACTAGTATCATCTAGAACTAGGGGAGAACGGTTCAAGCTTTCTTTTCGTCAGCCTCGTTCTCTGGTGGGGCGTAAATTCTTTACGTTTCGTGCAAGGCACGGAGTACTTGAGGATGAGCAGGCTTACTAGATTTCTCGGTTTCCGAGTACTTGCATAAAGAAGGGACAACTCAACCCATTAGGCAGTCGTGGAGTGGGTCTTTAACCTCTAATCTATCCACTATTAATCTTTCCAAAGCAGGTCGGGTCTGGGTAGCATCTCGAGAATCATCTGGAATAGTACTGAATAAATATGACCAACTTTTTTCAGATACAGCCGACAAGGCATTTCTACGGACAGTTTCCATTGTAGAACAACGTACTGAGTATGGTCGATTAGTGTTACTGCTCTGCCGGCGGTATTGCCCCAGACTTCGATCTTGGGTAACGTTTATTTATTTCACTGTCCAATAATACAGTCTTAACACTCTAAAGTTTGTGGTGTATACTACAGGTTTGTTCCTGTGGACGTTCCGGCGTTTCAGTAGCAGTGGGTTCAGCGCGGCGCCAGCCTGTTCTGCGCCATGGTCGCCTGCCAGCTTCTGTAGTTAGTGAAGAGCAGTGCCGCGCTAAAGCCAACCCCACCCCCTACCCCGTAACACCCTAGCGTCGACAAGTAACAAAAGAGTAGTATACATCATCACATACTTTAGCGTGCTGAACACGATCCGTTGAATTTCAAGTAGAACTGAGTGTTTTTTTCATTCATTTCCACATCGAATATTGTAGCCTGAATACCTACTTCAGATACCTCAATGGGTTCGGGACATCAATGAGGACCGAGGATATCATGGCAGCGATACAATCGGATATCACTACTACACCTATAAAAGGGTAATCGCTCTAGCTATCGGTTCAGTAATGCTTATAGCATCAATCCGGATCCATTCAGCCGTTACCGTTCCTTGACGAAGCAGAACTCGAGCAATTCCCAGCGCTTGTTTATATCATTGCTAAAACGCCGACGTATTTCACTGGTAACATCACCAGTCGGGTAAGTATCGAAGTTGTTTTCTCATGTTGACTGTTTACTAACGGAGCGGTTTGGTACAAAAACGGTGGGCTATGAAGTGTACTTTGGAGACCTAGTGAGAGAGATTAAAGACAGGCAGTACTCACTCCCGCAGTTCCTGGTTCTCGCCATATGTGAGATAAATCTTCTGCTGCGGTAGAGTACTATTCTCTCCGATCAAAATGCAGGGTAAAGGGACTGGAAATTAGTGATACGTGAATGCCTCGTCTGTTTCTCCGGCGATGGCCGCACGGCCAGTCAATACATAGGCCAACGAGCTACCTGTCTGGGCTCGTCTCGTGTTCGGTTGTTGCAACCGATACAAGGTTCTGGAGGGCAGCTTCAACACTGCAGTGATAGAGAGCAATCAGAAGTGATAAGGCGCGATCAAGTAGCGCATATAGCTAGGCGTGCGTCAGCGGGCGCGGAGTATGGGAATGGCACCCGTACCACCATCCAGCCCCGTTCCCGTGCACTCTTGACCGGAGAAAGTGGTGCGTTACTGCAGCTGTGGACCCTCCTCTCACATACTGCAGGGACCAGGACCCTTCCAGGTGACTGTAGAGTTTGCCTCAGAACAAACACTTGGCAGATACGAACAGAATTTCCAATCAGAAGTCTTTTATTTTAGCAGTCAGTATCGCGATGGGTAGTCTCCTTGGATCATGTGAAAATCGAAACTCCTCAAAATATAACTGCACTTGATCACCTTATCAGCACTACTTCAAATTGCTCCGAGAAACTACTTGTATTCGTCAACAACGAGAGGCAATGTCCAGTGCCTTATTGGGGTTCTGTGGCCAGGTAAGCTCGCAGAAAGCAGTACGTTAAATTTGAAGTATTTTACCGTTGTGCGTTTCATTCGAGCTCCCTTGTAGCTATTTTGCTTTGAATTGTAATTGTATCGTTAGAATGCCAACATTCCAAAAACTTGAGCGGTAGAGAAGCCAAGTGTGTCCGCATGAATGCTGTTTTACATTTACTTTACATCTTATGATTTACTTTCCAGTAACACTAAATGATTATAGAACTGCCTATATGTATACTGGAGTGCGGCCAGTTTACCTCTCAGCCCCAATGCCAGCATCAATGAGTGTGGTGCTTTACAAACGACTACCACTACTTGTTGAATCGCAATGCCAGCAGATGTTTCTCATGCACCAGGACAGCTACAGTATCCAATTCCAAGACTACACACCTCATGCGGTACGAGACTTCTCAATTTTCCTAAGTACTAATCGTTGCAATGCTCAGAATGGTTGTGATCTGAAGGTCTAATGTGAGAAATGGGTTCTCGCTTGATGAGAGAGCGCGAAATGGCGTGAGGTTAGGTGGTTGTTCAGCATGTAGGGTACAGTATCGTGATGTGTGAGGTGGTGGTGTCAGGTACGACCCCCCCACCTAAATGAGGGTCTCGGTACGACCCCTCCCCCCTTCCCCAACACCTACCTACCAATTCCCCACATTTTCCAGTCCAGTTTTTCACCGAAAATTTTTCCGTCGAGCGGGGGGGGGGGTGTAGTGCACATGAAACAGGAAAAATCACGCAAAAGGTCAGCAACCGGAAAACCAACGCGACAAATTTCTCTCAAAGGCACATACGACCCCTCTCTCCCAACGACCAAATACGACCCCCCCCAGAGAAAAGAC